TTTAAAACTAAAGGACACTCCACTAGTTTGGATGTGGTGCCCACAGTCATTTTACACTGGGCTCACACCAGCTCTGTCAGATCAAGCCAGGGGAAGAGGAGAGGGAAACTGGCTCTCAGGCTAAGGCTTTCTAGGTTCTCTACGTAATTCACACACAAAAAAACATTGTGCCAGTCGAATTCAAACTGCAGGTGCTCAGCACTGATCGGAGCTCCTCGAGCCATAAAGGGAAATGAGTATGAGACTGATTAAAACATTTTCCATTGAAATTTCAAAAAATTTTCACCAGCTTTAGGGAAACTATCTAGTGATTAGTGCAGGGAAGTGGGTCTCAGGACTTCTGGGTTCTACTCCTCATTCTGCCACTGACACACTATCAGTCAGATTGTGAACCCTTTACTTTCAGTGGTGAGCAATTACTTACTTGAGTAGCCACAGTGAAACCACTGGGTTGACACATGTTAGCAACTACTCAGCAGTGGACATAAGGAGTTGCCAATCTGGCCCTATGCAATTTTAGGCAAGTTACTTAAGCCAGCAGTTTGAAAGCCATATGCCTAGAGTTAGACACCTGACTCTGTATTTAGTTAAATAAATGACCTGATTTTCAGGGGTGCTGAGCCCGCCCAGCTCCCATTGCCTTCTAAAGGAAGGGAAAGTGCTCAACACTTCACTAGATGGGGCCTGCAGCTTTATGCTAGACACTAGTTTTCTCCCTAATTTTTAGGAGGGGGTGGAAACAATTTGATCTCTTAATTGCCCCAAGGTAAGATCCAAACCCGAAAATGAGCCCGTCTCCCAGGCAGGGTGAAGCAGGCAGCTGGTGGCATTTCTTGGATGAGATCAGAGAAAGCTGATTTATGAAGCAAGGAGAAAGCAAAGTGCTTTTATGGGTAAAATGTTCTCTGTTTATTTCCTTTCTGTCGGACTGCGTTCCTCCCACGCTTCTGGCTTAGAGCTAGCTCCCTACAACCTATCATAAGCATTTCAGCATGTGCTAATTTAATTGAACAAGGATTCTGGCAGACACTTGGGAATAACATCCCAATATTAGCTGGAGGCTACAGTCTAGTAAACCCTGGAGCACTCTGCTTCCTCTGCGTTCAGGAAGATAAGGCCCTCCATTCAGCCTTGCATTATGTACCTTCTCTATGGAGCCATAAAGTTCTAGGATCTCAGCAGAAGGTCATGGCTGACAGTAAAGTGGGAGTGTGGTGCACCTCAGAATAGGGTGACCAGATAGCAACTGTGAAAAAATGGGACGGGGGTGGGGGGTAATAGGCACCTATGCAAGAAAAAGTCCCCAAAAAAGGGACTGTCCCTCTAAAAACGGGACATCTGGTCACCCTACATCAGAACCTACTTCAAACTCCTCCTTCCCCTTGGGCCCAAGCTGCAAAGCTGGGAGCCAGAGCTGAACTCTCCCAAAGTTGAGGGACATTTAATTCAAGCTCAACTTTAGTTAGAATAGCTAATAAAATCAGTGCAGGAGAGAAATTCACAGGTGTATCTGTGCAATTGACTTCTCCTCCTCCAGAGGGGCTCTAGGTACAGGTCAGCACACTTACGAGTCCAGTTGAACTCAGCGTGGGAACCTGGAAAGAATTGTGGCTAACATGAGAGACTGCAGTGAACATTCTAGAACCTGTGGTGGAGAATCTGAGCTGAGTGCAGGGCATTATATGCAGGGAAAGGACGTCCAGTACAGTTGATTTATGGGATGCCCAAGGCTGGGGTACAAAATTCAAAGTGCTCACTAAAGAGAGGGCATGGGCACCCTGAGATTGAGCTGGGAGTTCCCACTACAAAAGGGCATCTGCAGTTCCCATCCCTCCACATAAGCCCTCTCAACCTGACAGGTGTAGGCACAGCCATTGTCTTGATTGCTTGGCGCTGGGGCAATTGGAACAAAGCTGGTACCTCTCGTGAAATGTGAGGAACGCCTTTATGTGTTTTATGAGCACACATGGTGACAATGGTATATTTCTCTATGACTGAGGAGTCTGTGTACACAGAGACACACGCAGGTACACACACATCAATCTGTGCTCATAAAGAAGCAGACCCAGAGATACCCACTGATATACATAGAGTCACAGAGGCAAAAGCATAGTGAGGTACACCGACGCACACAAACAGCCAGACGCAAACACACCTTCACAAAATGCAATCAGCCAAGAAGCTGGAATCAATAGTGAAATCAGACATGGAGCAAGAAGCTGAATATTTAAGTGAAGAGAGAATCCTGGACTTAGGACCAAACTGCAGTAGGTTTATGGGGAGGACAGAAAGGAGGGGAAAGAGAAAGCTGTGTGAATCAAGCCAGTTTTCTCTCCTTTCTCTTTTAAACTCCACTGAGTCAGGAGTGCTCATTAAGGATGGCTCTCATTTCCCTAATTAGACTGCCCCGCTCTCTTTGCAGGGCACCAGACCTCCGCAGTTCAGCAATAACATGACACTTGTTATTTTACAACCCAGGCGGGGGAGGAAGAGATGGCTTTGTGATGTGCTCCATGGAAGAAAGCGAGCTCAGAGAAATCTGGGAACCTGTGTGTGTGAGTTTGGGGGGAGCTGTCCCCGTTAATGAGAACTTTTCCATTCTCTCCCTCTCCCCCCATCCCTGTGTGCTTCAGTCCCTAATACACACGTACCAGGAATTACACTAAAAGGAAAGGGAAATTATTTTCTCTTTTCTCCAGGCTGTTCTTCAAAGCCAAGATGTTTGGGAGTTGTTTTTTTTTTAAACAAATGAGGGCTGGGGTTTTTAAAACAACCTTTGGGCAAAGGTGCCTCAGGCAGGGCTGGAGCTGATCCAGTCTTGATGCTGAAGAAGGACTTGGTGGCAGTGATGGTGAGATATAAGAGGCATCGACTGCTGGACTGGATAGGCACCAGTCCATGCCGGGATGGTGTCCTGTTGAGGCAGACCATTCATCCGGTTTTAAACCAAACAGTCCCCCCCATCTGGATGTGGTTTTGTCTGGTGTCAGACAGAGGACACTATTTTGAAGAGCATGACATTCCGCCTCCACCAGCATGGCCTCGCACGCACACTCTGGCGGGGGCGGGGTCATGCCAGTGGGGTAGGCCCAAGCCCTTCCCAGACATACCAGAATGTCCTGTCTTCTGGGAACGCATGAGAGGCCACCCTCATCCTGCCTCACAAACAGCGCAGTCTCAGTTTGGTTTCTGACCCTGCTCTTTCTTTCGGCCATCTTGTTAGTGTCAGTTCACCCACAATGCACGGTCTCCCTGTTTGAAATAGTAACAGACATTTGACCTGGATTTCATAGTATCAGTATCACTTTGCCTCTCTGCCTCAGGATTTATCTGGCCCTCATCCCTTTTGTAGCCAAGCAAATCACAGACAATAATAGACATTAGCCTCTGAATAGTACAGAGCCACTATCCCCACAGGGCAGATGAGGAATGAGGCAGAGGGAGGGTAAAGTGACTTGCTCACCATCACACATAGGTTGCCAACCCTCCAGGGCTGTCCTGGAGTCATTATGTCATGCAATGAAACCACCAGGCCTACGTCCCACCAACATTGGCAACCACAGTCACACAGCAGGTCTGTGGCTGGGGTGGGAATTGAACCTAAGTTCCAGTCCCCTGTGCCATCTTTCCTTTGGACTAGGTGCCTGACTTGTGTTGCGTAGCGCCTTTCACCAGAAGTAATCTTTGTGAAGTCAGTGATATTACTGATATGCTCAAGTGCTTTGCTGGACTGGGAACAGAGTGCTCAGCACCTGACAGGTTAAAAGCCCTTACTCATAAATTGGAATGAATTTTGCCAAAAAATAACGTATCCCCTTCATAAAGCTCTGCAGATCCACTCTACGCTGTGGAGTGGGCAGTAAGTCTGTTTTCATTTTCTCCAGATCAGCAATGAAGCCATTTTTGCTCAATTTGTGTCCAATTTAAATAACTTGTCATGTATTTATTAGTAATATTACAGCATTGCCTCAATGGCCTAATCAAGCTCAGGGCCCCATTGTGCTAGGACTGTGAGAGACAGTCCCTGCCTTACAATCCAAGGGATATGGGTGAGAGCAAGAAAGTGCTATTGGCCCCATTTTACAGTTACTGTGTCATGAAGATATTAAGTGACTTGCCCAAAGTCACACAGGAAATGAACTCAGAACTCCTGAATCCCAGTCCAGTGCCTTTAGAGCAAGGCCTCCTTAATTGTCTTCACTGTGCACACACGATTGAACACAGCAACACACTCATCTATATACATACACAGTCCAGTGATATACACTCAGTCCATTCATGCATACACACACACACAATCTCCCTCATGCTCACACACTGTAATCTCTCTAACACAATGTAAGATCTCTCTCTCTCTCTCTCTCGCAGACACACACACAGTTCCCTATGCTCTCTTTCACACACATACAAAGAGGCGCAGGCAGACAGGTGGACTGGGAGGAATAAGCACTCTCTGCAAAGAAATGGCCATTTGCAGCTACTCCTAATTACACTGGTTGAATTCCACATATTAAAATAAGCAGCACATGCAGAGCAGGAATTTATGTGGTGCCTATGTGGTGCTCTTTTGCAAAAACACAGACTTAAAAGAAAATGCCAGCACCTTCTGCCCCCTTCTCGTTGTTCCATTCTGTCCCCCAAAAAGCATGCGTGTCCAGCAGCATGGCGGTAATTTTAAGATTTGTCTGGCCCAGATCCGCTACGGTGGCAGCTTTGGTGAGTCTGGAGAGGCAGATTTCTCTCTCTCAGTGTTTGGAAACATGCTGGCTGCCAATTCATTCCAAGGGAGCCTGTCTCCCCCTCTTTGCTTCCATTCTCTGGAAAGGGCAAGTAAGCCTTGAAACGTCTGGCAGGCTGACTGAATAACTGTGCCAGGAAGCAGGCAAGGTGGTGCCAACAGCAACGTGCTCACTCTGAAGCCAGAGAAAGAAAGAGAGAGACTGGAAAATTACATAAGTCTCCTGAGAGAGAGTCTGTTCATTTCCTGTTGCTGACTTTCTGGTGGGGAAGATGAATACGATCAGGAGTGGTACAATTCTGTAGTGGTCCTTGTATAAATCAGCCCACACAGCCATTGGTGAGTGGAGGGAAACGGGGAAGCGTGGGGGGAATTACGCATGGATTTCGCATGAATTGGTTTAGGGGCTGGTTGTTTTTATTGGGGGACAATAGCACGTACTGTTCTGGTCTGCCGGGTGGTGACCCCGATTCAACAGCTGGTTTGTATCACAAGTGAAAAATGAATTTGGTGGCCTAACCCAGCTCATCTGTGAACATTTCCCAGAGTTACAAAATCACCAGTACTCAATTTGGAGTGATTTGATCAGTTGGCAGTGTCAGATCAGAAAGGACCCAAGACTGGAATAGTTGAATCTGTTCATGGGTCAGGAGTGAGGGGCATTGGCAGAGCTAATTGTGGGGAGCCCAGGGCTGAAATACCAAGGAATGTTCTGTCTCTGGAAGACAGAGATATTTTTGGCAGAGCTGGGAACAGGGTGAAGCCAGCCTGCAATGTACTTAGCTGATGCCCCCCCCCCCACCTTATTTTCCTCCACACTAAATTCTGACATGTGATATTAAGACCAAGAAATTCTCCATGCTCAGGAAGCTTTGTACATTGAAAACATTGCAGACAGTCTGTGCCATTCAGAGTAAGCATTTATGCCATCAGAATGGGGGTAGGGTGGGGATTGAGGGATGAGTGCTTCTGAGTTGCTAGAAGCCTTTTGAGGTGAGAATTCCTTGCACATGCCTCAAACAAAGGGGGGGTGAGGGGCAGTGTGCCAACAAAGACACCCCCACCCACAGCTCCGCCAGGAGTCCAGGTCAGCAAGCCAGCCAAGCCAAGTCTGGATCTTCAGTCAGCACAGCTGGAGAAGCAGTGTCATCCCAAGCTGTCCATCATGCCAGCGCTCGAGAAGCAAGGACTGCCATGTGTTATGGGGAAGAGAGGAGAGTGTGTGTGTGCAGTGCACATGGGGGGAGGAAGAGGCCGGCTTTCCTAGTTTGGTTAAAACCCACTTCAGCCTCTTACACAACACACACAAGGTCCCATGAGCTTGGTAACAACCTCCCTCATGCTATTGTGTGGCTGACCTGCTTAAATAAACTGTGTTATTTTAAGCAAGGGCAGCTGAGCATTTGCTGAAGCTCCTTCTCTCTCTTCCCCTCTCCCCACCCGCCCTTTCCCACTGCTTCAGTTTCCCATCCCACCCCACTTTTCTTTACACAGCGGGATTAATCCATCAAACCAAATGGGGGGGAGGAGGAGGGGCAATGATACTGCACTCCAGTGAGCACTGAAGAGGCCCCCATTCATGGGTCAATAAAACCAGGGAGGACTCTCAGATTTAATCAGCCAAGGAGCTCTCCAGCACTGCAGACAATTAACATCAAAGAGAGAGAGAGACACAGAGAGAGAGGGAAGGCAGTTTGGAAATCCAAGTACAATTTTTTCTTTAAAAGACAGGAAGGCTAAGAATGAAGGGAGGGGTGTGTGCTAGGGAAGAGGGCACTCAGATGGCCCAGTGAAGGGTATGGAGTAAGAACCAATAAAAAGGCTGGACAGAGGGAGAGAAGGAGTGACCCACCTGAAGGACGTGATCCCCTGAAGTTCCCCATAATCTCGTTCCCCATTTATAACTGGTAGTACTGTTGCTTACATTCTATCTACATTAGAGAGGAGCCTGAATTTAAAGAGACACAGCCCTGAACTTGAGGAAGACTGGGGACAGATCCACAGCTAGTTTTACAGATGGGAAAACTGAGGCACAAAGCAAAGACGTGACTTGCCCAAGGTCACACCATGAGTTAATGGTAAAGCTGGGAATAGAACTCAGGAGACTTGGCTCCCTGTTTTAACTACTAGACAAACTACCTTACTGATGCTACCATAGAGACTGCCCCTGCCATCACTTATTACAGCATGTATCCTTGCCCCCATGCAGACGCCTGTTGGCTTGAATGGGACGCTGTATGGGAGTAAGCATAAGCATATGCATATTGCATCCGATGAAGTGAGCTGTAGCTCACGAAAGCTCATGCTCAAACAAATTGGTTAGTCTCTAAGGTGCCACAAGTCCTCCTCTTCTTTTTGCGTATGCACAAGAGTAACTTTTGCAGGATTTGACCCGTGAGGATGCAGTTACACATTTGTAGTATCATAATGATCTAAGCAGTTAGAGCTTTAATTTGTTATCAACCATTGTGCAGGTGTGCAATAGGCTGGCAGTGTGTTCCTGAAAAAATAAGTACCTTCTTAACAAATGGTTATCCTGTTGGAAATGCTAAGTGGGCTCTGCCGACTCTATTCGAGATGACTCATTACCCCATCCAGATATAAGCAATGGGCTACCTACAGAAGACCTAGAGTGTGGGCTGAGCAGTCATCAAGGAAGAGCAACCAAGTCTGGGGAGAAGGCTTGGGCTGGATTTTGTGGATAAAGCTAAAGCCCCAGCAGGGGGGTAAGTTTTGACCCATGGCTGTGTTTGAAGCAGTATGCCATCTTCTTCACAAGGTGACAAACTGAAAAAGAAGGTGTTTTATTATTGCTGGGAAAGGGGGTTGTTAGGCAGGGCTCAAGACACAAATTATTTCACATTAGCTTCATGCTTACAAAAATCCCTTCACCCCTAATTGGCCTTACATAACTCCACTATGCAGCACTCTTTCCAACTTCAGGAGCACCACTAAGAAATATTAGACCAGTAGTTAACTGTTTCAGTCATAATTTACTGTCCTCTGAGCTACAATGAGGAGATTGAACAGAAAATCATATCCACACTGGAGCCCACCACAGCATTCCTGCTTCTAAGACTCACGCTTTTTAGACTTCTCTTTTCTAGATTTTGGTGCCCAAATATGCCACCCATTCTACAGTTTTGGCCAACTGCTATGGGGAAATGTAGCCACCCACATATAGGCTGAGGTTTTCTTTAAATTTCCCACTATTGCTCTTGCAGTGCTGCAACTTCACTGATGGCAGCAAACAGTGAGAACATTACTGTAGGTAAGGCAGGACTGGTATTTCACTAGGCAGCCTGGCTCACTGAGTAAGGCAGTGGCCTAGTAATCAAAAAAACATGGGTCCTATTCCTGCCTCTACTACCACCCTTCAACTCTCTACATCCCCTTTTCCCCTCTCACTCTTGTCTAGTTATAGGGTAAATGCTTCAGGGAAGAGACTGCTACTTTTTATGTATTTGTACACCTAGAAATCAGAAAATCTAGTAGCTCAAACACCAGAAGGCAAAAAGACCCCCAGATTTATTGATTTTTAAGCCAATCTCATGGTTTTGGGGGTGCCTGGCTCATGATTTTTGAATTTTGGGGTTGGCAAGACATCTCTTTTAAATATTTGTCTTCCACAGGGACTAGGAGAGATGACATACAAGCACTATAGACCAGAACCAAATTTTCTAGTTGAAAGGCGTGTTTCATTTAAAGCAGTGGTTAGCAATCTTTTATCATTTGCAGACCCCTAAAAATTTTCAAATGGAGGAATCCTTTGGCAATCTTAAACATAACCTGTGGACCCCCAGTGGTCCATGGACCACAGGTTGAAAACCACCATTCTAAAGAAATCGAATGGAAGGAGAAAATCTCCCTAAATTTCAAGCAGTCCTAATACAGCATTACAGTTTCAGAGCTACATATACCCCCCTGGTACTTTACCCTTTCCTGATTTGGAGCATCTCTTCTGTTGAAAATTTTTTTTTTTTAAACTCTGAAAGGGATAGTTGGGTATCTGAATTTCCATATATTTCGTCTATTGACAGATTGCATTTCTGTTCTTGGGCACAGAACTCACAAGGTTTGCCTGTTTACCATGTCCAGACCTTTGTTTCCAAAGCTGCGAATTAAGAGTCGACAAAGGCAAATGCACCTAAGAGAGGAAGCATCTGAGCTATGACCTCAGGTCAAAGGCACCAATGGAGGTTGTGATCTGTACCCCAAAGCATGCCAAGTAGGATCTGGTGAAAGCACAGGGAGAGACCAATGATTTGATGGGTGCAAGGCCTCATTGCACAGGAGATAGAGTTGGCACAGCAGTAGGGAAATGAGTCTCTCTCCTGGACTTCAAGGTGATGGGGTTGCAAAGCCTTGGCATTGCCTGGCATTAGTAGGAGTTGATTATTCTTAGGTGAGGAAGAACTAGTTTAAAGCACTCGCTATTCTATTCCACCCAGTTCTATCTGCCCCACTAGGCTCCTCTTCCCACTATATAGTTTCACCAAAGGTTTGCAGCCACAGAGCACTCATTTGTATGTTTGTTCATGTGTTGGCTATCTCAGAACTCTCCTTGGGTTTGGCAGTTACCACAGGTCTGGGCACATTAGACACAGCCTGACGGATCAGGAGGAAGCGAGGGAACATTGACTTGGGCGAACAGCCGTCTGTGTATCGGTTACATCTAAATTGCAGCTGTCTGGATTTGAGGAGGACCGGAAGGGGGCACAGGGCAGGCCCTGGCTTTTTGTCTTGTGCACTGAACTTTGGGATCCTCTTTCCTTCAGTCCACCCACTCTCTTTCTGTCACGTACATCCCCCCACACCCTGCGTTTATTCTCTCTTTCGCCATCTCATTTTGTCCCAAAAGGCTCCTCTCCAAGAGCAGCTCCTTTAAACAGTGAGGGGAGGGAGCCTCTCAGAGCTCTGAGGTAAAATGCCTGGGAAAACATCGCCCATCACCTTTCCTCCTTTTCACTGCACAGTCTCTCTACCATCCCCCTCCCTCTTCCTCAGCAGGTACCTCCAGAGCAGTGGTTCTCATCCTGCAGCTGCGTACTAAAAAAAAAAAAATCCAGGTCCCAGCTGCCCTGCCCAGCATGCAGTGAGGTCCGGGGTCTGGGTCTCAGCTGCCTGGCCCCGCGCTTAGCGGTGACCAGGGCCTGGCTGCCTGGTCCCACGCTTGGCAGGGCCTGGCTTCCCGACCCCGTGCTTGGTGGGTTCTGGGTCTGGGTCCCAGCTGCCCAGCCCCACGCCCAGGGCTCCGCTCCTGGCCCCACTCTGTGGAGGGGTCTCTGCGCAGGGGGTGCTGGGCATATGGATTTATGGGGGGGACTTTGGGGGGGGGT